ACATACAGATTTGGCAATTTTTCTAACATTTTCTAGGTGTATGTATACTTAGGGGGCAGACCTTGTGCTCAGTTCAGTTGTATAATTGATTGTATGTTGAGAGAATATTTTATTAATTCATTTATTTTTTGTAATTAAAATTCATTCTGTATAATTTTTCTAGTTATAATATTGTGTACGTATATATTAAAAAAATATTGTCTTAATTAAATATGTATTACACTTTTTTAAAATAAATTTTCTAGTTCCTTCTTATAAAATTTTCCTGTTCCTCCTTTGAGGTTCGTCAAAAACCCAGAGGATTAGACAATTTTAGAAAAATAGCCAAATTTGTATATATATATATATATACAGATTTGGCTATTTTAACATTTTCTAGATGTATGTATACATAGGGGGCAGACCATGTGCTCAGTTCAGATGTATAATTCATTGAATGTTGAGAGGATCTTTTTTTGATTCATTTACTTTTTGTAATTAAATTTCATCCTGTATAATTTTTCTTGTTATAATATTGTGTACGTATACTTTAAAAAAATATTGTCTTAATTAAATATGTATTATCTTTGTTTTAATAAATTTTCTATTTCCTTCCTATAAAATTTTCCTGTTCCTCCTTTCAAGTTCCTCAAATCCCAGAGGTCTAGAAAATTTCAGAAAAATAGCCAAATCTGTATATATATATATATATATATATATACATACATACAGATTTGGCTATTTTTCTAAAATTTTCTAGATGTATGTATACCTAGGGGGCCGACCATGTTTTCAGTTCAGATGTATAATTGATTGTATGTTGAGAGAATATTTTATTGATTCATTTATTTTTTGTAATTAAATTTCATTCTGTAAAATTTTGTTAGTTATAACATTATGTACGTATATATTAAAAAATATTGTCTTAATTAAATATGTATTACCCTTTATTTAAATAAATTTTCTATTTCCTTCCTAGAAAATTTTCCTTTATAAAATTAATATTTAATGATATAAATTTTTTTGCCGGACGTGCAAGTTGTCCATAGTTGCCGTAGAATGTAGTCAGTTTCGATGTGACATAAGCCCTGGTTGTATACACATATGAAAGAATTGAAGAAAGATATAAATTGAATTATTATGTTAAATGTTTTTGTAATAAATTTTACCTCTGTAAAATAAAGATTTATTCTTGTCGGAAATTGTTAAAAGACGCTTCGCTCTAATTGGCCGTTTTAAAGGTCAGTTGCTTCAGATCGGCTCGAACCAAACAGTACTAAACTCAAGAAACCTTCTGAACGATAATAATAAAAAATAAATAATTGGAGGACGTATCGAGAGTGATTCTGACATTTTGGGATTTTTGATAGTCGGCAAAGCGGGAAGTATTTTCACAAGTCGTAAAAGGCATGACTACAGAGCATAAAGACATTCCATGATCAAAGAACTATGAACGAATTACTAACTTCTTAAACTACTTTATAATTTTTCTAAATTATTGTACACAATTATAAAAAAATAAAAATTATTGTTTTCTGAAGTTTTTACTATTTTAAATTTAGCATTAAAATTTTTTTAACGCTTTTTATCCACCTTTTATTACCTTATATTTGAATATTTTTATCTGACTGCTGCTTCAGAGTTAGTGCAACAATGAGTAATCAAGATATCAGTCTAATACAAGCCGACGTCCCACAGGGTTCTATTCTTGGTTCCATTCTGCATACGATTTAAACTGGTGATTTTTCTATAAATCCCAACACTGTTGTTACCACATCTGCCTCTAAAACCCAAGAACGACTCGAGTATATCAAAGACTGGAGCAAAAAGTGAAAGAAAAGTCTTGCAACAATATGTAATATACAGGACCTCACTCACTGCTGTCTGAACCATCTGTGATATCTTCACCATCCATTGCACTAATCCAGATAACACAATACTAGTGAAATAAATAAACAAAGAAAAGAAGTCGTTATTGGTTGGATTCCGGGCAATGTATGGATAGAAGTTAATGGAAATGCCGACCGAGCTGCCAAACGAGGAGCATGACATGACTCGAAGACTCCTGTGAGCCCGGCGGACGCCAAAAGTTATGTCAAAACTGTATACTGGGAAGATTGGTAGAAACCCTGGGCTACAATAACAGACAAATTAAAAGAAGTGAACTTGTCAGTCGAACCGTTGGCAATCAAATACAGAAAATTGTGTTGACTTGACTGCGAATAGGCCATACCAGCTTGTCGCATTGGCATCTCCTTATTAACATAAGGCCTCGGGGATGTCCCCCGAGCGGCGCACAAATAACGATTAAACATAGATAGATTGCGAAAAATTTGCGCAGAGAAAATAATCTGTGGCCTTTCTTCTAGTTGCAAATAGTTATTAAAACTCAGCAGGAAGGCAGCAAAAAATTGATAAGCATTTGATGCTTATCCACACGTAGTTTTCCTACATGAAATGAATGTATTTATTAGCGTGAATGTGGAGTGTTTGTAGCTCAGTTGTGGCGGAATAAAGAGTGCCCCACTAAACTAAGATAGGATTTTTCAGTATTTTGTTTCTCGAATGAATATATTTATTAGCGTGAGTGTTGTGTATGTTTGTGTGGGTCGGGGCGAAATATTGACTACCCATCAGACCCACTAGGCTAGTTTTGCTTTAGATTAGGTGTGTCTAGAGTGAAAGGGGAAGTACGGGCTTAATACTATATTTCAGTTAACTAAGGTTTTTAGTTGAGATAAAAAACCCAGTGGCATGAGCGGGTTTCGAACTCACGACCTTCGGCTTGATACGCCGTTACTCTACCACTTGAGCTATCGGGACTCCGATCCTCTCGACACTAACTTCCCATCTCAACCCCACCTTTCGGATTTTCCCTCCTTTTTGCATTTTTCAAATGTCGAGTAATCTATTTGATTCTCGGCGACAAATGAAATGGCCAGGGAGAGCTTTAGTGAAGATATACTTCACTTTGACTTATGCAAATCACTAGTTTTGGTCCATGGTGAAAAATAGCAGTCAAAGGTCATGGGTTCGAATCCCGCTCGTGACACTAGCTTTTTTATCTCAACTAAAAACCTTAAATGAAATATATTAATTGGTCAAGCGAACCACGAAAACTAGTGAATTTATACTTTAGTTGCTTCCGAATTTCTAGCTATACATACGGTATGTAGGTTATAATCAGTATGACTGTATTTATTAGCGTGAATGAAGGCAGGCCTTCAACGGAATATTGAGTACTAAGGGTAGGCCAAGTTTGAATGTTAATGTTTGCATCGATTGTAAGAGTGTGGAGGGGTAAATACGAGTAGTTCTATCAGAAAAAAAATCTTGCCCTCCACTTTACATTTTACATCAACAAAGTGATACCGACTTCCACTTAAGTCAGATATACAGGATTATACCTAGACTGCGGATTTACGTGACTAGGACCACACAAGACTTAAGAAACAGCAACTTAACAGGACAGTTGGACAACTAAGAAGACTTTGCATATCGAAATCTCTTTTGACCGTCAAAACTCAACTGTGTACGAGACACTCGACCAATTTGGTCACACGGTATGGAACTGTGGCTTTATGCCAATCAATCCAATCCTTGCAATCAAAAGTCCGAAAACGATGTATCAAAGTCTCTTATTGCTTCACTGAACTCACTGATCCGATCCGCAAAACGTAACATTTTTAAATATATACTAACCTTCAACTGAGAATGAGTGAAATAGACCTAAATAGTAGATGACTTAAGGTAATGATGTGTATATGTAAAAATGGATAGAAATTCATGAAATCTCCAAACAGATGAAAATAATCAGAGTAGCACATAAAGCGACATTCCATTATATTTCATAAGCTATCTGTGATATTAATATTAAAAAAATAGGGGGAATTTTTCTCTGATCAAATTTGTTCTAGTTGTTATTTTATAAGCTATCTGTGATATTAATATTTAAAAACGTAGGGGGAATTTTTCTGAGATCAAATTTGTTCTAGTTGTTATTTTATGTGTATATATATCAGTTTAATTTTCTAGTAGGTTTTAGTTAACAAAATGTGAGTTCTGAATAAAAAATTAGCAATTATTCGTAGACTACTGTTTACATAAATCATGAATAAATACGTTGGCTCATGATGGGTGAGCATATTACCTTTTCTCATTGTAGCTGACAAAATCAAACATTCTTAATTGTATATACAGAGTGGTCAGTTCGTCATGTTTGAAAAAAATCCGTGACAGTACAGTTAAATTGGAGTAGAATGCCATAAACCTCATTGTTTTATCTCAATCCTTTCAAAAGTTAAAATATTTTAGTGTTTATTTAAGAAAAACACGTTGTTTACATTAAAACTTGAATTTTCTCTACTTCTAACGTAACTTTTCCCATGATTTTGTATTAGAAAAAATGAATGTATATGTATAAATTGAACAATTGACCTAGTGTTTAAATAAGAAAAGAAAAATGGAAAGTGAGAACTGTTTTAAGACTTTATTATACATTTCTATTGATTATTGGTTATGGATATAGAACCCTATGGAAGGCATAATAAAAGCCGAAATCTTAACTGTAGTACAATGAAAATCAATTTTTTGACCACAACACTGTCCAAAACATCAATATCCAAGAAGTTTGAATAAACGAGAGAAAACTTGCCAAATTTCAACAGTGAATAATTATAAAGTACCACACTGACCATCGCATCATTGAGCATACATCGTCATACATACATATAATTTGAAGTTAATCGATTATCGTGGAATCCGCATGAATACATATATACATTGCGTTTAAAGAAAATCTTAAACAATTTATTACTAAAAAGATTAATTATACAATAAAGAAATGTCATATTTGAATTAGAAATTATTCAGTATAATTTTATTTTGTGAATAGTAAGTCGGGCGTGGGTGAATTGTTATAAATCCAAAACCATCCTGACAGGTCGATTAATATTGAACAAAACAGGATATTTTCTGAAGGCGTGGAGTCATCAGAGAAATTCCCCTCCCTCTTTCTTTTATGAAATTGAATGCCAAGGATAAAAAGTGGTAGTGGTATATAAGTCAACGGTGCTGGGGATGATCGTTACAGTTACAACTAACTCCCTCAGCAAGAAAATGGCTTTGGTGAGTTGAACACGTTTTCCTTTTCAGTGAGAAATTTTGTTTTATATTTTAAACCAGCGAGGATTTTTCAAGGGTATTGATTGTAATTTAAAAATCATTTTATTTCAGAAATTCGTGGTTCTTGCCGCTTTTGTTGCCGCAGCCAACGCCCAGTTCTTTGCACCTGGAGTCGTACGGCCTTATGCTTACGCTCGTCCTGTGGCTGTCGCACACGCTCCGGTCGCAGTCGCCCACGCTCCAGTCGCAGTCGCCAGGGCCGAGGAGTATGACCCGCATCCCCAGTACAGCTTCTCTTACAGCGTGAACGACGCCTTGACCGGAGACTCCAAAGGTCAGACTGAAACTCGCGACGGAGACGTCGTACACGGAAGCTACTCACTCGTCGAAGCCGACGGTTCCAGGAGAGTCGTAGACTACACCGCCGACCCCGTTAACGGATTCAACGCCGTCGTACACAAAGAAGCAGCTGTCGCTCACGCCCCAGTCGCAGTCGCTCACGCACCAGTCGCAGTTGCCCACGCTCCAGTCGCCGTTGCCCACGCCCCAGTCGCCCTCGCCCAAAGGCAGTTCTTTTACCATTAAAAAATCAATAAATAAATCATATAAATTATACCTACTTGCTTTATCTTCTATCCTTTTGAACCATTTTCTACCATTTGCTACATTTTGAACTGTTAAGAAGACAATTTAGTTCATAATGGCATACAAATCCGAGAATAAGAAATGAAGATGTGATATCACACTTCATATATATTAATTAATTATAATTAATATTATCAATATACTACGGAAATATCACGATACTAATTATAATACAATAAAAAAATTTAATATATTAATTATATGACCTTCGTTTATATCTGTTTCGAGCATCATTCTTATAGATTTTGAAACCTTCTGCGCCATAAAGATTCGAACTCTCTATTTTCTTAGACAAAATGAAAATGAGTGAGGAAATAGTTCACTAATTGGTCATAAACAATCCAAGGATCTTCTAAAACGAAATGTCTCAATGGAAGCAAGAAAACTCTTCAAATCCTGATAGGATTCTTAACAGTACACTACAGAAGCAAACGAGCAGAAGAGACACGGACTAGCAAACTGGGCAACCACATTTGCCCTCAGGAGGAAGTGTTTTTGGACGTACTTCGTATCCTCAGAAGAAATTTAACCACTAGAACCTGACCAAATTGAATTAAGTTTATTGACGAACTAGTACTCAACGGTGTGCTATAGGTCCAGAACAGAGGATAAAATAGCTCTCATAAAGCGCAGATACTCCAAATACTACATCTTACATTTTCAAGCTTTAATTATTTATTATATTTATTTTTAAAAACTGTAAACTTATGTAAGAGTAGGAGTGGCATATAGCATTTTACATGTAGACCAAAAAACTATCTATTATATTCACTAATTTCGTGGTCCGCTTGACCAATTAATATATTACAATTAATTAAGGTTTTTATTTAAGATAAAAAAAGTCAATGGCACGAGCGGGATTCGAACCCACGATCTTCGGCTTGATACGCCGCTGTTCTACCACTTGAGCTATCGTGACCTCGATCCACTCGGACACCAAATTCCCATCTCAACCCGACCTTTTGAGTTTTCCCTCCTTTTTGCAATTTTTCAAATGTCGTGTAATCGGATTGGATTCTCGACGACAAATGAATGGCCACGGAGAGCTGTAGTGAAGTATACTTCATTTTAAATCATTAAATTCACTAATTTCGTGGTCCGCTTGACCAATTAATATATTACAATTAATTAAGGTTTTTAGTTGTGATAAAAAAGTCAATGGGACGAGCGGGATTCGAACCCACGATCTTCGGCTTGATACGCCGCTGCTCTTCCACTTGACCTATCGTGACCTCGATCCATTCGGACTCTTAACTTCCCATCACAACCCCTCCTTTTGAATTTCCCCTCTTTTTTGCCATTTTTCAAGTGGTAGAGCAGCGGCGTATCTAGCCGAAGATCGTGGGTTCGAAGCCCGCTCGTCCCATTGACTTTTTTATCTCAACTAAAAACCTTAATTAATTGTACTATCTATTATGTATTTCCGTAAGCCATTCATAGCTTACGTAATAATGATCAAAGAATTGACCTATAATATAGTCAATTATTTATATTTTTAATATACAAACTAAACGTTGTAATGGTATTCATTATTTCTTACGCACCTACTTTTTTATGATCTCGGATATAAGCAATTAACTCCAAAGTAATGTCGCTGTCGCACATGCTGCAATAATTGGAGTTGGGACCATGTTCAGTCCTATGGCTACCACAGTTCAATTATCAAAAAAATATTCCGCAGATAATAATGCGAAATAATCATTCCTAAGAACGAGTGCCGAAATTTTTAGTTGTTTAAAAATGTTTTTACCGATGAACAAAATACAATACACGTAACACTATATATCATGTTATTACTGTAAGATTACCCATGTGAAATTATGTATTTTTTGTGTATTGAAAACCCCTTTTGAGCATAGTTCGAAGCTTCAAGGCATTCTGTTGGTAGTTACTTGCAAGTTTAACAAGTTCGAACGGAGTGCTCGTTTGCAATTAATAATCGTTGTTACAAGCAGATCACGACTGTTAATTATTGCTTTTGGTCACACCGAAATATTTGTGTCTTCCATAAATAACGAGACAAGACAAACAATATTTGAGAATAAATGTAGCAAATAAATAATCAATAAACCTTGTATGTTCCTATTAAAACAGAACACACTGGGATTTAGGAAAATCAGCTTTGCATACGACGAAGCCATAGTTCCTATTTAAATGCTGCTCCTAATTGGAGAGAGGACCTTCGGCTTAAGAAGAACATGAAACAAATAAACAGAGTATAAAGAAACGTGGCAATAAAAATCATAGAGTGCTACCGAACAGTACGACACAAACCTGCATGCACTATTGCAAACATACGCCAGGAATTATGACTAAAGCCATTATTAAAATTTCCAACATCTATCCTCTTATCACCTCACACGAGGATCATTCGCGTAGGTAGTTATTAGTATGCGCAGTATAAAGGACGGAACCAAGAATGCACCCTTGTGATACGCCCGCTTTCTATAACTAAATATTCAAATTCAAGATATTCCTAGCTAGAATGCACGCTGTAGGTTGAAATTATTTATTTAAAAAATATTTTTAAGTAGTAAAAAGCATTTCAGAGATGTTTATTTATAAATCCCACTCGTTTTAGCAAGTAATTAATATTTCATTGAAGAAAAAAATTCACTATTGTTTCTCGACTCGCTTAGTTGGTTAATTAAAATTTAATGTTTAAGTCCAAAACTGCTAATTGTAGATATAATCTTCAAAATTATATATTTTTAACATCCGACAAAACGGGGGTTTTTAATAATTTTTAGAAAAATTTAGTCAGCTTTTGAATATCTTTGGGTATACCTCGCACACCCGGAAGAAACGTGACACAACTCAACTAAAGAAAATTTTCAGGGGAAATAGATNGGATATATATATGTATGTATGTATGTATGTATGTATAAAATATATAAATATTTATTTAAGTTTTTTCTTTTCTTATATATACTTTTTTCTGAGGAGATCTTCTTAGCTTCCATAAAGTTATTTTTTTGATTTATGTATTACGTATACGCCACTACAGTTGTTGGCGATAAAAGCTGCCATGATCTACGAATATTGTGAAATATATTCATTAAATAATGCGTACAAAAATATTAACAAATTTATCTTTTACGGAAACAAACAAAAACACACTTTCACGTAAAGCAGTCTTTATTTTTTTTTTAAACACTATCGATTTCTTCTGCATAAAGTTATGTGTTCCTGTACAAAAACCACATTTTGGAAAAACAACACAATTTAAAAAAAAATCGATTAAACCAACACAGATAAATGGATAATAGTTTATTTAACTTTTTCTTTACATACAGATTGCAACCTGTCTTTTTTTTATTTATGTTAGAAGTGCGAATAACATTGGGCAGAAGTTTATCCACTGGGCTTTATAACTTTCTACAATCTTAAAAATGTTCTCTAAACAATCAATTTGTCTTGTTTGCCTGCTACTGCGTTTGTGGGGACAAACTGATTTTTATAAAAAACCGCTGTTACATTTGACTCGTGGTAATGATTTTAAATTATATGGACAATTTAAGACTACTGTGGGTGTGAATCATCAATCTGACAGATAACAAAGTTTAAATAACTTATATGTACATAGTTATGAATTATATATAAACATTATGCATATAATCTGAATAAATAAAATAATCAAATCGAATGAATAAATAATATAATAAATAGAATAACTAACTAATTAGGTAATAAATAAATATGCACATACATTCACAAATAAACAGGTGATTACATACATATGGCTGCAGTTCAATACAAAATACGCGAGAAAGACAGGAAAGAGAAGGAATACATGCGGAGGGCCGGCGATGACCTCAGCTGTTTGTCGGCCCATAAACCTTCCACTTTATATATATATACATACATATGCACATGAACCCACGTGTATCTATACTTTACTAATAAATATATAATTATATACGTAAATAAATGTAACGTGTGGACATGTGTATATACAAATGTACATGTATCTACACTCTAAGAATAAATAAATAAATAATTAGATAGGTAAATAAGTGTAACGTGTTTGGACACGTGTATATACAAATGTATATGTATCTATATTTTAAGAATAAATATATAATTAATACGTAAATAAATATAACGTGTGGACATGTGTATATACAAGTGTATATACAAATGTGCATGTATCTATACTTTAAGAATAAATATATAATTAAATACGTCAATAAATGTAACGTGTGGACATGTGTATATACCAATGTATATGTATCTACATTCTAAGAATAAATAAATAAATAATTAGATAGGTAAATAAGTGTAACGCGTTTGGACACGTGTATATACAAATGTATATGTATCTATATTTTAAGAATAAATATATAATTACACACGTAAATAAATGTAACGTGTGGACCTGTGTATATACAAATGTACACGTAACTATACTCTAAGAATAAATAAATAAATCATTAAATAGGTAAACAAGTGTAAGGCGTGTGGACACGTGTATATACAAATTATTTAGTGCAGGACTGATTAAACCAAAACAAAAGAAATATCATTAATAAAGGAAATTGTACAGGTTTGTCAAAACATATTAAATCTGACTACCGACACAATGGATTGTGAAAATGATAAAATAATGTAAAACGAAAATAACAATGAAAAACTACTGTGGCTAGAGAATGTGTATATAAATTTTGAAAATAATAGACTTTTTTTATGGCTTTATGTTCTGAGCGTATTAGCCAATGACAATTTTATTATGCGTATTCGTTTCTGGGAGGGGGGAAGGGTAGCGTGAAAAAAAGGCCAGAGGCGACGGTGGGAATCGTACCCACGACCGCGGGATTTAAGAGCCGAGAGTCTCTCACGCTAACCACTCGGCTACCGCCGGCTAAATATATATATATATATATATATATATATATATATATTTCAAAATGTATAAGAGAGAACATATGAAATATCAAGGTCTATTGTGTAAATTGTGTAAATTCAGGTTCGATGTACAGGGCATGTACTTTTATTAGTTGTTAATATTTTTTTAAAATTTTTACTGTCTTTTTGTATTTTTAAGTCATAACACCTGAAAACGGGGAGCAGACAGCACCCCAAAATCCATACTTGTTTTAAAAAAAAACAACTACTTTTTATGAAAGTGTTTTTGATTGTCTCCATCTATGGAATACAGAGGGTCAAGATAAAAAATAAATTAATCTTTATGTAAGGTATTGGTTGAAATGAAAAAGTTAGTGTCACGAGCGGGATTCGAACCCGCGACCTTCGGCTAAATACGCCGCTGCTCGACCAATTGACTATCGTTACTTCGATCCACTCGGACACAAACTTCAAATCGGTGTTCAAGATCAATTAATTGGAAGAAGTTATTTGGTCAATCGGACCACGAAATAGATATAAAAAATAAATGTTACATAATTTTTTAAATCCTTAATATCAGTATACTTTAGTTCCTGTTATAAAATTTCACTTAGTAAAAATATTTTTTTAGGTAAAAATAGTCTCTTAGGCAAGTCACTGTTCTTCATATTAAGTAATAATAAATTAATGTTATCATTAGCATAAAAGTACAATTTATTATCATAGTACATATATTATACATATATATACATACTACATATTATTACTATGGTGCAAATGTTAGGAAGTGGTAGTTTTCAAAAATGAAAACATTTCCCATGCTGATTAATTATACAATCTTCCACTGAAGATGACGAAATGGCGAAACGCGTCACAGAGACGAAACCGGCGAGGGCAGGCGGACTAGAACGATCAATGAAGATCGTGTTGCAATCCTTGGTAGTCGGATGTTGCCAGGTGGAGAAATTATGTCAGAACGAATGAAAAATGCCTGCTGACTCGCGTCGATAATCAAACAGTTAAAACAGAATCGATGTAGTTCGACTTCTGCCGGTGACGTACTAAAGGGTTTTACAAAGGGAACCCGCTGATTGGAATTCTGGTAGCGTGATAAACTTGCACGCCCCATCACTTTCTCTGTTGGCGATAAACGTTGGGAGGAAATTACCACAAATTATACCGAATATGGTTCACAAAACGGCCTCATTCTGTGTTTAAATTCTAAATATGATTTTTAAAATAAAACACATAAAATTATGCTAATTGTTAATTGTTTGAAATAGGCACCACGCACCCCGGCATGTTTCCCATTCGATAAATGGAATCCGTTCAATTTAGTCAACACACCCTAAAATTAAATTTCGAACCTTCTCGCCAATAAACTCAAAATGCTTTTGTAAAATTGTAGTTGTTTAAATAATCATACGCGAATCTTTCCCTTAATTAATTAAATTTAAAATAAATCTGGATCTAATTTATTAACATATTTACACAATTATTCATACAGTATGATCACACCTAAAATAATTCATAAAAATTTAGACAGTTGATAATTTTAAAATTAAATATTTTTTGATGTGATTGATATTTTGTTTGCCACCGCATACGTCCGAGGAAATCAATGATTCGGATGTATCTAGGAAGCCGTAGGTTAAATTTTATAGAGCATATTTTTGCATATTTGATGATCGCTTAAAATTGCATATTTGAACGCATATATGAAGGATTTTTACGTAAAACCACATGTATCGCGTAAAATATTTAAAATATATTGGTTTTCGGAGGAAGCATAAAAAAGTCTGTAAATAAATGACAATTGACGAAAAATTGGTTTAAACGAAGAAAAGATAAGATTCTAGCAATACCGACAAAAGAATATAAAACTTCTTATTTATTCAATATAATCGCAAATTAATTAATCTTTAAGTACGGTATTGGTTGAGATAAAAAAGTCAGTATCACGAGCGAGATTCGAACCTACGACCTTCGGCTAATTAATTGGAAAGAATTTATTTCGTCAGTCCGACCATGGAACCTAATCGATTTAATAATCACAAATTTTATGTGACCGTGGGCACAATTTCACGGAAGGCAATTTAGAGAAGTTCTTTAGTTACTTAACATTAGTTATAAAATATATATTTTAGTTAAGTGAGAAAATATTTTTGTTGGATGTAAATAAACTCTAGGGGGCGTGACCCCAACGGTTTAGGCGTTGACACGGCGATCATCAGTGTAAAGTAAAAGTCCCTGGTTCGAATCCACCGGCCCTGCATTCAAACCCGACATACTTACAAATGGGCGTTTTTTTTTTTTCAAAAACACCTGCACCGTGAGGGTTGATATGACCTCTGCAGTTGCTTACACTCTTAAACAAACGTGTTTTTCTTTAAAAAAAAAAAAAAATTAATGAGCTGTCCACCCTGTAAAAAAATAATAATAATATAATTGGGGACACCGGTGGCCCCAAAGGTTTACGCGTTAACACGGCGCTCATCTCTGTAAAGTAAAGGTCCCGGGTTCGAATCCAGCAGCCCTGCATTCAAACCCGACATACTTCCAAATGGGCGTTTTTTTTTGTTTTTTTCAAAAACACCTGCGCCCTGAGGGTTGATATGACCTCTGCTGTTGCGAACTTTTGTAAAGAAACGTGTTGTTGTTTAAAAAAAAAAAAAAAAAAACTTTTTTTTATACAATGAGCTGACCACCTTGTAAAATAATAATAATAATATAATTGGTGGCCCCGAAGGTTTAGGCGTTGACACGGCGATCATCAGTGTAAAGTAAAGGTCCCGGGTTCGAATCCAGCAGCTCTGCATTCAAACCCGACATACTTACAAATGGGCGTGTTTTTTTTTCAAAAACACCTGCACCTTGAGGGTTGATATGATGAAAAAAAAAATTGGTGGCCCCAAAAGTTTAGGCGTTAACACGGCGTTCATCAGTATAAAGTAAAAGTCCCGGGTTCGAATCCAGCGCGCCCTGCATTCAAACCCGACATACTTACAACTGGGCTTAAAAAAAAAAAAAAAACACTTGCACCCGGAGGGTTCAAATAACCTCGTAGTTGGGGAAAAACTAAACGCTTGTAAATATTAATTTTAAAATGTTTTAATATCTGTGCCTTTTAATTATCTATATATCTGTTTAAAGTTACTATGATAATAAAAAAAAACTTGTTTACTGCATATAATTGCATATTTCAGGGCTTTCAACTGCGTATTTTATTTCATATTTTGGCAATCTTTACTGCACAAAAATCCCGTCTCTGATTCAAAGTGTACAGGATCTTTTTTATATATTTAATTAAGTATAGTTTCATGTTTTTTTTTATATGGTGATGGAAATGGTTGAAAACATAAATATTCCATTATAAAGGCTGTGCTAGTATAACATTTAAAGCATTTTCAGGCCAGCTGCCATAAATGGCCTTTCGAACTTTTATCCTCTTCCTTCTGACCCCTTGTAATTTCATTCCTATAGAACGTAAGGCAGTTTTGATATAAATCTTTGCACTTTGGGATTTAATACTATTAAGTAGTACAATATTTGGAAAGTTCGGAAGGTTATCTTCAGGTTGATAAGTTGTGAAATATTTTAATAAAATTTACCCTCTTTGTTCTATTTGAATTAGAATCTGTCAAACGCTATACCTTGGAATGAAGGAGTTAACATTATTAAGCACGTGTTACCAGTTCTCGGCCGAATTACAAACGGACCGCAGAGCCAGTCTTCCCCACCCTTGTTTGATATGTAATGCCAAGGATAGTGTAAAAGAGAGGTATATAAAAGCGAGGTGGTTCAACCTGATGATACAGTTCAACTCCTACTTAACTATGGCACTGGTGAGTGAACACGATTTTTTAAACTACAGAAAATTTTTTATTATTTCTAAAACGTTAATCAATGTAACTGTTTAAATTTTGAAGAAATTCATCGCATTCGCGGCCTTGTTTGCTGCTGCCAGCGCCCAGTACTTTGCACCTGGAGTCGTACGGCCTTATGCTTACGCTCGTCCTGTGGCTGTCGCACACGCTCCGGTCGCAGTCGCCCACGCTCCAGTCGCAGTCGCCAGGGCCGAGGAGTATGACCCGCATCCCCAGTACAGCTTCTCTTACAACGTGAACGACGCCACGACCGGAGATTCCAAAGGTCAGACTGAAACTCGTGACGGCGATGTCGTCCAGGGCAGCTACTCCCTCGTCGAACCCGACGGCTCCAGGAGGGTCGTTGAATACACTGCCGACCCCGTCAACGGATTCAACGCTGTCGTACACAAAGAAGCCGCTGTCGCTCACGCCCCAGTCGCAGTCGCTCACGCACCAGTCGCATACGCACAAGCTCCAGTCGCTCTCGCTCAAAGGCCGTTCTTTTATCATTAAATACAATAAATAAATCGTATTATTTATAGTACATTTTTTTCTTTGATTTGTCTTTAATCTCAAACCATCCAATAAATTCTCAAGTTCAACATACGAACTAAACGAATAAATGAAATACAAAACATAATGTATGCATTTTTCAACATAAAATATGTTGGATTGTGCGATTTTGATATTAAAATAGTTAAAAAATACCATAAAAATGTAGACGATGTAGATTCTCAGAAAAAGGTTTATAATATACAAATATTTATTTAGAAATCGTGAGATGCGGTCTATGTGATGTAGGTTTCAGAAAAATATTTTCTTTATCGTGCCAACGTTTCGATCTTTATTGAGATCATCTTCAGAGCTCAAAGTGTTTGTCTTCTGTGTAATTATGCCATTCTTGGAGACAAACACTTTAAGCCCTGAAGATGATCTCAATAAAGATCGAAACGTTGGCACGATAAAGAAAATGTTTTTCTCAAACCTACATCACACCAGACCGCATCTCACGATTTCTGAATAATCATCGATTAACGGTCACTAATCACCACACATTTGAGATTAATTTAAAAAAAGTCTTGTAAAATGGTCTGAAAGTACATTTCCGAAACCCTAGTAATAGTCGAACGTTAGGTTTTCATCTCTTACCCGGAATTACTTTACATTAGGACTAGTTTTACGTAGGTTGCGAAAATTAAATATGCTCTTTTCTCCTTTTCATACCAAGTTCAATTATGTACCTTAAAACTACCCAAAACTAAACAAGATTAAACAGTGACAGAGTTCAATGGCAATTTAAAAAAAGTAGAATATCAACGAAGCACAACTTATTTGTGAAATGAACCACTTCATTGATAGTCAACCTTTGATGATGGCGTTCAACCAAAAAAGTACACCAAATCTCGGAAAAATCGTGAATTAAAAACAAATTAGATTATTGGAGTTGAGGACGCCTTTTCTCCGACACCCTGTCTAAAAGATTATAAATAATTTACAAATCATTACCGATACAGCTATCCTGAAAGTTTTCCTACCTAAAAAACAAAATTTTCCAAATTAAATATTCCCCGATTTGAATATATTGTTGTGTTATTTTGTATTAATTTTAAGAAATTAAATGCTCACATACATACTTAATTGCTTATTAAAAAGCAAAAAAAAACTATTAATTTGTTTAAATGCACAAAAATTAAAGATATTTACATACGTCCATATAAATGAATCCCTAGTTACTATGAATTAGTGACCACATAAAAAAAATATACATTCAACTCATTTTATATTAATAATAATTTCTTTCAAAGAATTAATCTTTATGTAAGGTATTCGTTGAAATGAAAAAGCTAGTGTCACGAGCGGGATTCGATCCCGCGACCTTCGGCTTGATAAGCCGCTGCTCTACTACTTGGGCTATCGTGACTTCGATCCTCTCAAACACGAACTAACAACTTTAAACCATCTGTCAGATTTTCCCTCCTTTTTGCCATATTTTCCTTTCAACCAATACCTTCCATAAAGATTAATTAATTGAAAGAAGTTAGTTGGTCAATCGGACCACAACATATAATGAAATTAATAATAATTCAATATTTTGTAAACTAACTTGGCGAAACGATAGTTTTTCCTTTCATTTTGACATTAATGAAAATAATTTCGATAATTGCCTTCCAGGGCACTCTCGACACGACACGCAAGAATGGCACAATTACACAGAAGACAAACACTTTGAGCCCTGAAGATGATCTCAATAAAGATCGAAACGTTGGCACGATAAAGAAAATGTTTTTCTGAAACCTACATCACACCAGACCGCATCTCACGATTTCTAAATAAATATCGATTAACGGTCACTAATCACCACACATTAATATTTTTATATAAAATTGGAATTTGGTCTAATCTTCTAGGTTTAGCACATAATATCTTTCAATTTTATCATATGAACTCCTACAAACTCCTATTTCCTTTTGTCCTTGTATGTGGTGATACTGATGCGGGATATCAATGCCAGCAATATTTTAATAGTGATGGAACTGATCGGTTTTAAGTAATTGTTATTAAATAAATTTAACGGGTTCAAATATGCTGTAAATTGTGTTTTTTTAGTGAAGAAATTATGGAGTGTTTTTATAACATTTATTTTGTTCGATATATTTACATTTTGTAGGAATATGAATATGATTTATCGTAGAACCTCAGTCACATTTTGGTAAAGTTTGAATCTGTTGTATGAATGCGACCCAATTTAGTAATGGGCGACTGCGACTGGTGCGTGAGCGACTGCGACTGGGGCGTGAGCGACAGCTGCTTCTTTGTGTACGACGGCGTTGAATCCGTTGACGGGGTCGGCGGTGTAGTCTACGACTCTCCTGGAACCGTCGGCTTCGACGAGTGAGTAGCTTCCTTGGACGACGTCTCCGTCGCGAGTTTCAGTCTGACCTTTGGAATCTCCGGTCAAGGCGTCGTTCACGTTGTAAGAGAAGCTGTACTGGGGATGCGGGTCGTATTCCTCGACAGCCACCGGTGCGTGTGCGACTCCTGTGAGGACTTGAGGCGCTGCTGAAGCGGCAGCGACGAAAGCAGCCAAAGCGAGAAGTACCTGTAGAACAATGAAAACAAAATAGAAAGTCTAGTATGAATGAAAGAGCATAATTACATCGGTACTTAGATTAAAAAAATTGATATTTTTCTTAAGTAACTTTAGTTTCCTTAAGCAAATTGAAATTACAAAAACACTAAATTGGTAAATATAAGTTAAAAAGTTTTCCATCTTATGCTTAATTTTACACAATTAACTTGTGGTCTAAAATACTTGAAAAATACAAAATTTCTCCTCTTCGATATCCCTTGTTGCCGTGCATTGTTAGTAATCATTTGGTCGATGTATTAAATTTCAAATAAAATGTTTCAATTTATCCCTTTTTTTAAATTTTCAATAACGTTCGATAACGTTTTCCTTAGAAAGATTACAATCTAACATTTTTCAAATTAAAAATAACATATGAGCGTCGAGATAATAAGCTCTTATCGAGACTAAATCTTAGAGATATTCAACACTTGGGTTCAATATGATAAAATTCTCACGTAAGACATCGTTGTTTTGGATGTGTTCCGAGTGAACTGTGACGACCTAAGGCAGGTCTGTATCTTTTATACATGTGGGCGAGAGAGATTCAGGTCTTTCATCCTTGGCATTACTCTTTTTACAATATAGGTGGGGACGTTTAAATCTCGTCTCGTCCTTCTAACGATCGAAAAAAAACCCAACGTTTTTGGTCGACTTTTGGCAAGTTTTGAATTCCATAATGCAGATTTAATGAGACAACAGTGTATGGACTATTTTTTCTTATCTAGTTTAATGCGGTTCCCAAACTTTTTCTTTTTCCGGGGCCCTTAATACAGAATTTTTCCTCAGTGCCCTAAGTCAAAACAATGGTCTATCTCAGCGTGAACTTTATGGTAGTAGTGGTAATTCAATTCTAATTCAGACAAACATTAATATATCGAAACTTCTTATTTTGTCTGCAATTTTATTTAATAAAAAATCAAAACTCCTGACTTTCTTGTAAAACTAAAAAAATCGCCTTTTGAAAAACTCACTTAATCTCAAGAATACAAAAGCAAAAATTTTTTCTGGCAATAATATAACATCTTGGATATCCAACAATTGCAGCTGTCTCATTAACATCTATCCTGAAATTGGATGATCATCAGAGGCGTAGTTTTTAGGGTTTTATAAAAGGTGATTTAGTTCTTAGATGCTTTTATAAATATAAATTTTATAGAAAATTTTCGCGGCGCTCTTAACGCACAGCCGCGGCGCACAGTTCAGAAATCAATGCATTAAAATAAGAATGTTATAATTAATATAATGATGCAAAGACTTTAGTTTGCAATGAACAGCAAAGTACTAGTGTCCAGTGTATTTTTCTTTTCGAAGAAAAATTCTTTCTTTTTATTTTTTTCACTACCTTGAAAATGGCATCTTTCAAATTTCCATCGTCTTTCTTTACCATTTTTAAAGAGCACTATTTTAGATTTAGTAAAATTTATTGTAAGTATTCACGCATTTTCAGATTACTTAATTATTTTTTTAAAAATCCAGCAGTGAAAAGGTGAGTAGCAGTTTTTTATCAGCAAAGAATAACGTTTTTATCATGGTTGAGCAAATTTTCGACCACACCTATCATTTCTTAAGAAAATTTCTTTCTTTTTTTGACGAAACAATAAAGTGCGAGTGTCCAGTGTATTTGTCTTTTCGAAAAAAAATTTCTTTCTTTTTATTTTTTTCACTACCTTGAAAATGGCATCTTTTAAATTTCCCTCGTCTTTCTTTACCACTTTTAAAGAGCAGCATTTTAGATTTAGTACAATTTATTCTAAGTATTCATGTATTTTCAGATTACTTAATTATTTTTTTAAAGATCCAGCCATGAAAAGGTGAGTAGCACTTTCTCATCAGCAAAGAATAACGTTTTTATCATGGTTGAGAAAATTTTCGACCACACCGATCATTTCTTAAGAAAATTTCTTTCTTTTTTTATGAAACAATAGTGTACGAGTGTCCAGTGAATTTGTCTTTTCGAAAAAAATTCTTTCCTTTTATTTTTTTCACTACGTTGAAAATGGCATCTTTAAATTTCCCTCGTCTTTCTTTACCATTTTTAAAGAGCAGCATTTTAGATTTAGTAAAATTTATTCTAAGTATTCGTGCATTTTCAGATCCTTAATTATTTTTTAAAGATCCAGCATTGGAAAGGAGAGTAGCCCTTCCTCATCAGCAAAGCTTATCATTTTTATCATCGTTGAGCAAATTATCGACCAGACCTATCATTTCTTAAGAAAATTTCTTTTTTCTTTTTTACGAAACAATAAAGTACCAGTGTCCAGTGTATTTGACTTTTCGAAAAAAAAATTCTTTCTTTTTATTTTTATCACTATGTTGAAAATGGCACCTTTCCAATTTCCCTCGTCTTTCTTTACCATTTTTAAAGAGCACTATTTTAGATTTATTAAAATTTATTTATGCATTTTCAGATACTTAATTATTTTTTTAAAGATCAAGCAGTGAAAAAGAGAGTAGCACATCCTCATCAGCAAAGCATAAAATTTTTATCATGGTTGAGAAAATTTTGGACCACACCTATCATTTCTTAAGAAAATTTCTTTCTTTTTTCTATGAAAAAATAATGTACGAGTGTCCAGTGTATTTGTCTTTTCGAAGAAAAATGTCTTCCTTTTTCTTTATTTTTTTCATTATCTTGAAAATAGCATCTTTGAAATTTCGCTCGTTTTTCTTCACCATTTTGAAAGAGCAGTATTTTACATTTAGTGAAATTTATTCTAAGTATTCATGAATTTTCACGATACTTAATTATATCATTTCTTTAAAAAAATGTTCTTTTTTTACGAAACAATAAAATACGAGTGTCCAGTGTATTTGTTTTTTCAAAGAAAAATTTCTTTCTTTTTCTTTATTTTCTTCACTACCTTGAAACTAGCATCGTTCAAATTTCGCTCGTTTTCCTTCACCATTTTTAAAGAGCAGTATTTTAGATTAGTAAAATTTATTCTAAGTATTCATGCATTTTAAGATACTTAATTATTTTTTTAAAGATCCAGCAGTGAAAAGGAGAGTAGCACTTCCTCATCAGCAAAGATAACATTTTTATTAGGGCTGAGCAGAATTTCGGCCACACCTTCAATGTGTAAAGAAAATTTATTTCGTTATTTTTTTCTCTTCTATATCTTTGTTTATTCATACTTGACGGTGATGTCGAAGTGTAAGGATAGTTATTATGATGAGTACATTGAACAAGAGGTGGGCTGTAGGGTTCTATTGTATGTTGGGACCAGTACTATTTCTATTTTATACAAATGTTATTCGATCAAACTAGAACTTAAAACTTTAGTGAAGCTATAATTCATTTTATCTTATTAAATTCACTAGTTTTCGTGGTCCGCTTGACCAATTAATATCCTTCAATTAATTGGTCAAGCGGACCACGAAAACTAGTGAATTTAAAAAGATGTAATGAAGTATATATTTTCTAAAGCTCTCCGTGGCCATTTCATTTGTCGCCAAGAATCAAATTGATTACACGACATTTGAAAAATGGCAAAACGGAGGGAAAATTTAAAAGGCGGGGTTGAGATGGGAAGTTAGTGTCCGAGTGGATCGAAGTCACGATAGTTCAAGTGGTAGAGTAGAGGCGTATCTAGCGGAAGGTCGTGGGTTCGAATCCCGCTCGTGACAGACTTTTTTAATTCCAACTGAAAACCTTAATTAATTGAAACATTGGTCAAGTGGACCACGAAAACTAGTGAAGTTATACATTAGGACAACTTAAGATTCACTGTGAATAATGAATAATCGAAGGTTGGGCCTATATAAAAATTCCAATCCACTTTTTCACTGAAATCCGATATAACAAACAATTTTTTTTAAATATGCCAATGCTACATTTTAAGAAAGAATTGGGCCCGTGTCCTCGTTAATGGCGAAAAAGAAGCCTCGGTCGTTTGCAAAGCAGGAAGACCATAAATCAATCGGAAAATGTAACAAACCCATTTTAATCAATAAAAAATACTCACTGATATATTACTTGATATGTTATAAATCTTTTTTATAACGAAATGTCAGAAAAACAAGCATTTGTATCAATTTCAGTCAAGGTTCCCAACCTCCAACCGGGATTCAATAGTATTTTAATGCACTGCAGATATATTTAAAAAAATAATCTAACTAAATAAAAAGTTGTTGTGCAGTACTCATTAACATTTCATATTCCATTTTTCCATTTTAATTATATCTTATCGTATAATTAAGGCTTCTTGATTGTTTTAATGTTATACTTGTTAATCAAGCGCCCTTTTGTTTCAAAAAACATCATTATTTTCCCAGTGTTTAAGAAAGGAGTTGCAGAAGACACTAGTAATTAATTACCGAGGTTAATAATATAATTAGCAAAATTTATATTGGTCTCATTTCTTAGTTTTCAAATGAACGTCGAAAACATTACTGGTTTAGGTTCAATGGTAGCAAAATTGATGTTTTTTTAATTTGTCGTATTAATCTCAAAGCGGCCAAGAAAAGTTAGAAAGTTAGATGTACGATTTTTTTAAATTTTATATCTCGTACATCTTTGATTTTGGGGCTGACAAGCAAATATTTGAATGCATGAAAGATGTAAACATGAAATAATTATGTAAGAGAAAAGTGTTGAAGGAAAACAGAGTTGTTTATTAAGCCCCCTTTTGTTTTTGCTTAATATAAATATTTTTTCTAATTTTATTAATTATAAGTTAATTGTGGGTACAATACATTGAAGTGTGATTACTCTTAAGAAAATATTTCTTTTTAAGGGCTATATGAAAAAGATTTTAAATTGATTTATTGTTGAATAGGTTATATTTTGAATCTGGCGAAAGTACAACACAAAAAACTTCTTTCTTTTCGTGACCAATGAAAGAAACTAAAAATCCATTTTTTATTTATCCGTTTTATGATAGTTAAACTTTTTTTGACATTAGTTTAGTTTCCATACGTCTATGATCACATCAAAATATCATGTATTTTAGACCCTTTCAACACCACAGACAAGAATCTCATATATCTCAAGAACAAAACTACTAATTCAAGATTATGAAGGCATAAATCAATTCATCCGAGCTTCTACATCCATCCATGAATCCTTCTAAAACTAATTAGAGACGCCGTCATAGGTAGTTAGTGAAGGTCTGGTTTGATAGTCATTGGTGTATAATGAAAATAGACCTGGTCCCAACACAAAACCCTGCAGCCTACCTCTGCAATGAACTGAATAACAGTAACTATCCTTTCACTTTGACATCAACGTTGTGACAAAAAAAAAATTATGTTTTTATAATATCATTATTGTAAGAGAGGAAAGTGGTTTTTTTTGCCCCAAAATCAAATTTTTATTTTCTCGCTTCGATCAGCTTCCTTTTCTGTTGTGACAAAAAAAATTATGTTTTTATAATATCATTATTGTAAGAGAGGGAAGTGGGTTTTTTTGCCCCAAAATCAAATTTTTATTTTCTCGCCTCGATCAGCTCCCTTTTCTGTTGTGACAAAAAAAAATTATGTTTTTATAATATCATTATTGTAAGAGAGGAAAGTGGTTTTTTTTGCCCCAAAATCAAATTTTTATTTTC